TACCAGACATACAAAGAGGAGCTGGTACCATTTCTTCTGAAACTATTCCAAACAATACAAAAAGAGGGAATTCTTCCCAAATCATTTTATGACACTAACATCATCCTGATTCCAAAACCCGGCAGAGACTCAACAAGAAAAGAAAACTTCAGGCCAATATCCATGATGAACATAGATGAAAAAATCTTCAATAAAACACTGACAAGCTGATTGCAACAGCACATCAAAAAGCTTATCCACCATGATCACATAGGCTTCATCCCAGGGATGTAAGGCTGCTTCAACATACGCAAGTCTATAAACGTAATTCACCACATAAACAGAACCAAAGACAAAAACCACATGATTATCTCAATTGATGCAGAGAAGGCCTTTGACAAAATTCAACAGCCCTTTATGCTAAAAACACTCAATAAGCTAGGTATCAATGGAACGTATCTCAAAATAATAAAAGCTATTTATGACAAACCAACAGCCAATATCATACTAAATGGGCAAAAACTGGAAGCAATCCCCTTGAAATGTGGCACCAGGCAAGGATGCCCGCTCTCACCACTGCTATTCAATATAGTATTAGAAGTTCTAGCCAGAGCAATCAGGCAAGAAAAAGAAATAAAGGGCATTCAAATAGGAAAGGAGGAAGTCAAATTGTCTCTATTTGCAGATGACATGATTGTATATCTAGAAGACCCCATCGTCTCAGCCCCAAACCTCCTGAAACTGATAAGCAAGTTCAGCCAAGTCTCAGGATACAAAATCAATGTGCAAAAATCACATGCATTCCTATACACCAATAACAGACTTAAAGAGAGCCAAATCAAGAACAAACTTCCATTCACAATTGCCACAAAGAGAATAAAATACCTAGGAATACAACTAACAAGGAATGTAAAGGACCTCTTCAAGGAGAACTACAAGCCACTGCTCAATGAAATAAGAGAGGACACAAACAGATGGAGAAACATTCCATGTTCATGGTGAGGAAGAATCAATATCATGAAAATGGCCATACTGCCCAAAGTAATTTACAGATTCAATGCTATCCCCATCAAGCTACCAATGACCTTCTTTGCAGAACTGGAAAAAACCACCTTAAACTTCATATGGAACCAAAAGAGAGCCCGCATAGCCAAGTCAATTCTGAGCAAAAAGAACAAAGCGGGGGGCATCACACTACCAGACTTCAAACTATACTACAAGGCTACAGTAATCAAAACAGCATGGTACTGGTACCAAAACAGAGACATAGACCAATGGAACAGAACAGAGGTCTCGGAGGCAACACAACATATCTACAACCATCTGATCTTTGACAAACCAGTCAAAAACAAGCAATGCGGAAAGGATTCCCTGTTCAATAAATGGTGTTGGGAAAGCTGGCTAGCCATGTGCAGAAAGCAGAAACTGGACCCCTTCCTGACACCTTACACTAAAATTAACTCCAGATGGATTAAAGACTTAAACATAAGACCTAACACCATAAAAACCCTAGAAGAAAATCTAGGCAAAACCATTCAGGACATAGGTGTAGGCAAGGACTTCATGACCAAAACACCAAAAGCATTGACAACAAAAGCCAAAATAGACAAATGGGACCTAATCAAACTCCACAGCTTCTGCACAGCAAAAGAAACAATCATTAGAGTGAATCGGCAAGCAACAGGTTGGGAAAAAATTTTTGCAGTTTACCCATCTGACAAAGGGCTGATATCCAAAATTTACAAAGAACTAAAACAGATTTACAAGAAAAAAACTAACAAGCCCATTCAAAAGTGGGCAAAGGATATGAACAGACACTTTACAAAAGAAGACATACGTGAGGCCAACAAACATATGAAAAAATGCTCATCATCACTGGTCATCAGAGAAATGCAAATCAAAACTACATTGAGATACCATCTCACGCCAGTTAGAATGGCGATCATTAAAAAATCTGGAGACAACAGATGCTGGAGAGGATGTGGAGAAATAGGAACACTTTTACATTGTTGGTGGGAGTGTAAATTAGTTCAACCATTGTGGAAGACAGTGTGGCGATTCCTCAAGGACACAGAAATAGAAATTCCATTTGACCCAGCAATCCCATTACTGGGTATATATCCAAAGGATTACAAATCGTTCTACTATAAGGACACGTGCACACGAATGTTCATTGCAGCACTGTTTACAATAGCAAAGACCTGGAACCAACCCAAATGCCCATCGACGATAGACTGGATAGGGAAAATGTGGCACATATACACCATGGAATATTATGCAGCCATCAAAAACGATGAGTTTGGGTCCTTTGTAGGGACATGGATGAACCTGGAAACCATCATTCTCAGCAAACTGACAGAAGAGCAGAAGATCAAACACCGCATGTTCTCACTCATAGGTGGGTGTTGAACAATAAGAACACATGGACACAGGGAGGGGAGCACTACACACTGGGGTCAGTTGGGGGGAAATAGAGGAGGGACGGTGCGGGGTGGGAAGCTGGGGAGAGATAGCAAGGGGAGAAATGCCAGATGTAGGTGATGGGGAGGAAGGCAGCAAATCACACTGCCACGTGTGTTCCCATGCAACAATTTTGCATGTTCTTCACATGTACCCCAAAACCTAAAGTGCAATAAAATAAATAAATGGGAAAAAAAATAAATAAATAAAATAAATAAATTTAATTAGATTAAAGTATTATTACAAAACACATTTCTAATTTAATTCAGTATTTTTCTTAGTAAGATATCAGTATACATAGCCACCTTAAGCAGGGAACTATGTTAAATTTAGTTTTTTAAAAATCTTCAGGCCGGCACAGTGGCTCATGCCTATAATCCCAGCATTCTGGGAGGCCAAGGTGGGTGGATCGCCTGCGGTCAGGAGTTTGTGACCAGCCTGGGCAACATGGTGAAACCACATCTCTACTAAAAATACAAAAATTAGCCAGGTGTGGCAGTGGGCACCTGTAATCCCAGCTACTCGGGTAGCTGAGGCAGAAGAATTGCTTGAACCCAGGAGGCAGGTTGCACTGAGCCAAGATTGTGCCACTGCACTCCAGCCTGGGCAACAAGAGCAAGACTCCATCTCAAAAAAAAAAAAAAAAAAAAGAAATCTGCAAAGACAGACTAGGTGTGGTAGCTCGAGCCTATAATCCTAGCCCTCTGAGAGGCTGAGGCAGGAGGACTGCCAGACATTTAATATCAGCCTGGGCGACACAGCAAGACCGTGTCTCTACAAAAAATACAAAAGTTAGCTCAGTGTAATGGTGTATGCCTACAGTCTTAGCTACTTCGGAGGCGGGGGTGGGAGGATCACGTGAACTCAGGAATTCAAGGCTGCAGTGATCAAGCCACTGCCTTCCAGCCTGGGTGGCAGAGGCAGACCCTGTATCTAAAAAACAAAACAGGCAGGGCTTGGTGGCTCATGTCTGTAATCCCAGCTCTTTGGGAGGCGGAGGCAGGTAGATCACCTGAGGTGAGGAGTTTGAGATCAGCCTGGCCAACATGGTGAAACTCCATCTCTACTAAAAATACAAAACTTAGCCAGGTGTGGTGGTGGGTGCCTGTAATCCCATATCTTCAGGAGGCTTGAACCCAGGAGGCAGAGGTTGCCGTGAGCCAAGATGGTGCCATGGCACTCCAGCCTGGGTGACAGAGCAAGACTCCATCTCAAAAAAAAAAAATTAAAAATAATAATTTAAAAAATAAAAAATTTAAAAGACTTCAAAGACAGAGAAATATAAAAGCAAACCAATAAAAAGGCAACGTTAAGCAGATGGCAATCTACAAAATCAGAATGAGATGACTAAAGACAAAATGATAAATAGTAGCATTACCACATTATTCTGAAGAGCAATTTTTCACTTTAATTTTTTCAAATAGAAACTACCTCCCTTTAGATGAAAAATTATCTTAAGTTCCTGAATATAAAATCTTAACCTTTTCAATTTACTCCAATTTTCTCAATTTATAAAGAACTAGAAAATTTGTCAAAATATCAAAATGATCAAAGCCCATAAGATACTACCACACATCCACTGGAAGGGTCAAAATGGACAAAATTGAAAACACGAAATGTTGACAAGGCTGTGGAGGAACCAAAAGTTTGATATACTATTAATAGGAATATAAAACAGTACAACCAATTTGGAAAACTGTCAGTTTCTTAAAAACATACATCTACCTTTATCTACCCTATGACCCAGAAATTATAGTCCTGGTATACCCAAAAGAAATGAAAACATATTCCATAAAAACCCTATACATCAATATTCATAGCAGCTTTAATTACTGCAGACAAAATTAGAAAAAAGCCGAGATGTCTATCAACAGAAGAATAAACAAACTCTGATACAGTCATGCTATTGAGCAATAGTAAGGAACCAACTATTGATACACTCAAAATTATGCTGAGAAAAAGTCTTACATAAACAAGTACACACAAAACAATGCCACTGACAAAATGTCTCAAATAGGCAAAACTAACTTATGGTAATGTAAATCAGATCAACGGCTTCTGGCAGAAAAGCATGACTAGAAAACGGCACTACAGAACTTTCTAGGATAGTGGAAATATTCTATATTTGGTTGTAGGCAACATGAAATATTTATCAGAATTAATCAAACTTTACACTGAAGGATTTGTGCATTATGTTACCATATGTAATTTATACCTCAAATTTTAAAAATTCTTAGTAAAACAAAGATACACAGAAATCCATTCAGGGATGGATTGCAATCTTGACTGAAATATAATAGCAAATGCTGTGGAGTGTCAAAACATATTAAGCAATAAAGCCACTAATGGTGTGTCAATGATTGTACCTGAAACACTGCTGTAATAGAATTTGTTTTTGCAAATGAAAGTATATTCTTGAGGTATTTCCCGGTTAAAAAATTATTATGGTGAATCCTTTCCAGAGCAAACATTCCAAAAAGAAAAAAGTCAAAGAGAAAAGATTAAAGCATCAGATAAATCTTCCTGGCTTCCCACTGGAGAAATTTTAAATCACATCATACCTTGTAAGTTTTTGAAACTGGTGCTTTTTCTTGTTTTAAACTTTTCATTTCATGAACAGCATGGGAACTTCCTTTTAATCTCTGTATTGTCATAAATTCATACTTCCTCTGCAATAGCACATATGTATGAATTAAAGAACAATTGTGTCAAAACAAGTAAACTCAAAGGCAATCATTTAAAAATATACTTGTGTCTCTAGAGAAGAACAGGCAACTTACCTGTAAATTATCTAAACGAGCTTGAACTCTTTTAGCCTGAATCTCCATCTTCCTGTTTTCTTCACTTGCTTCATTTAACTAAAGGATAGAAAACGTTAAATATTTCAATACAAATCTTCAACTGGTTTCATACTAAGGGTTTCTCAATCTACTATCTAATCTGGTCGATACTGCCAACCAATGTAACAAATACAGATAGTATTCATGATTAAATTAGATCACAACTGAAGTCACCATTTTTCCCTAAAATATTAATGGTTTCTAAGATAATTTACTTCATTTTATGAAAAATGTGCAAGACTCCACATGTCTTAAAAACATATACATATATTTTATAAAAATAAAATGTTTTTATTAAGTAAAATTGCTATTTGAACTATAACATATATAAAGAAAAGTGTAAAATCCTAAGTATGCAATAGAATGAGCTATAACTGGAATCGTATTACTGGGATTATGTGTGTATTCATGTCTGTGTATATACTTATATGTACATACATGGAAGAACTGACATCTTTACAATATTGAGTCTTCCCTTCCATGAACATATCTTCAATTTATTTAGGTCTTATTTTCTTTTAATAATGTTTTGTAGTGTTCAGTAGAGATGTCTTGCACATCTCTCTTTAGATTTATTCCTGGGTATCCAATGATTTTTTAATGAAATTACTTATGGTACCTTACAATCAAATTTGTGATCTATATACACCATGAATAGAATAGTATGTGGCCATAAAAAAGAATGAAATCATGTCTTTTGCAGCAACATGGACGGAGCTGGAGGTCATTAATCCTAAGAGAAATAACTTAGAAAATCAAATATTCCATGTTGTCACTTATAAGTCAAAGATAAACAATACACATGGACATAAAGATGGAAATAACAGATACTGGGGACTCCAAAAGGGAAGGGGAGAACGGAGAGGGGTTGAAAATTAACCTACTGGGTACAATGTTCACTATATCAGTGAAGAGTACACTTTAGAAGCCCAGATCTCACTGTCACACAATATATCCATGTAACAAAGCTGCACATGTACCCTCTGAATCTAAAATAATTTTCCTAAAGAATGAAAAGTGGCTTTTTGAAAAAATAAACCAATAAGCCATGAGCTAGACCTGTTAAATTCCAATATCTGGATCACTCCCAAGTATGCTTATATTCTCTGGGTTTTTTTTTTTTTCCATTTTTAATTATGCAATTCTGTCTTTCGATATGATTATTAATTTTGTAAAGAATGAAAGACATATTTTCCTCTGCTAGGCATTTAAACCGAGGAGTAAGCACCTTAATATGATCAGGACTGAGCTTAATCAAGGCCAGGTTTCAGTCTGGGAAAGTTCTGTCTCCCTCTAATTCATCCACTCCCAAGGCACAACCCTACTCCTTTCAACTGAGATCCTGAGGTGTACACTGGGACTCTCTTCCCATGATGAGTCTTGAACATTAATCCTTGCCTCCTCAGCTTGGCAAGACTTAATGAGAAATGCTTTTAAGTTACTAGAAAAACGTATATCCAGTGTTAGCATAAATTACTGTGTAAGTCAGTCACAGAAATAACATACCTTTTTCTTCAGCAGTTTCAAAGTATATGTCTTCATCTAGCCAGAAGTTGGCTAAATCTGCCTATTTCTTGTTTTATAAATACAGTCATTTTGGAACACAGACATGCTCATTCACTTATTGCCTATGGCTGTTTTTGCGCTACGATGGCAGAGCTGGGTCAGTGAAAGACAGGCCATATGGCCTACAAAGCCCAAAATATTTACTACCTAATCCTTGATGGAAAAAGTGTGCTGACCTCTGATCTATTCTTAACAAAGAAATCATAAAAAAAGCATTTTGCCATCCCAGCTACTTGGGAGGCTAAGGCAGGAGAATCGCTTGAACCTAGGAGGTGGAGGTTGTCATGAGCTGAGATCACACCATTGCACTCCAGCCTGGGCAACAAGAGTGAAACTCCATCTAACAACAAAAAAAAAGCATTCTGCCAAATATTTTCAGTTTGTACACATTAGTTCATAAATCCAATTATAAATAGGCCCAAATATTTGGTAATCCACATATCCACCCCAATTACAACATACTCATGCAACCATTTACAAAAATTATTAAAGGTAACAGAAACCTAAGAGATAAGCATCTAGGGCCACAGTGTACCTATGCAAGGAATTTTTAAAATTCTATCACATGAGAGTGGTTGAATGATACTGTAATGAGAAAAAGTAATCTCTCCCTGAATAAGGCAGGATTCCAACAGACAACAGACCGTCAAATTCATAGACCAATAGTAAAAGGCCATAAATGAATTGAGGAAAGCCAAAGTATTAGATCAAGTGAGAAACAGGGTACCTATGTATCACTGCCAAAGAGGAGGGTCACAACAAGTAGAGATTAAAGGGAAATAAAGGCAGAAACAGAAAAGGACAGACAGCTGGCAAAGGAACTCTAGGAGAGTCTAGGCTCAAGTTACATTTTAGAATTCATAAAGATTCCCAGTCCAATGCTTTCATTTTCAAAGTAACTGAGTTTACTCCAATTTCTGCTCCAACATCTACACAATCTAATACACACATAATAATTCTCCTGTCTCTCTTTACTATACTCCTTTCACATTTTTCAGCCAAAAACTGGCAGAGGAAAAAACAAAAATAGACATAACTCACAAAAATATTTATGTTATGCAACTTTGGTATTATGTATTAACCTAAATTACAATACTTATATAAACAATTATACTGCAATGTGATACCAGTTTATAACCACAAGAACACAAGCAATGTGAAGGACTGAGTCTAGCACAGTGCCTAGGATACAGTAGATACTCGAAAATAAATGAATGTTAAATAAGCTATGATATGTAACAGTAGTTAAAATAATAAGTATAAAAGCCAGAGATCAGTACCTAAAAATGTAATTAGTTCTCAGGTTATAAGGTTTTTTCTTTTGCTTGTCTTTTTTCCCTTTGCTTGTCAGCTGGTTGCCAGAACAAATAAAGATAAGAAACCAAAGAGCTTAAGAATATTTTATTTATATTTGGAAGTATTTTAAAATAAAGGTAACAAATGTAATCTAAATTTTCTGTAGTTAAATATGTTCTAAGGCTGACTTTAATTTGTTATATATAAATTAATTTGTTATATATATTTTAGTCTTATTCTTGATTTTGTTATATATATTTTATATAAATGTAAATGTGCTATATATGCAACATATATAAACATGTTATAAATATAACATTATATGAATATAATGTATGTTATAAACATATATATGTATATATTTTAATGTAACAAATATATAAATTTTTTTTAATATATAACAATTCTTAGAATGTTTTATATCCAGTACATATTAAAACAGGTCTTACCTGTTTTTTTAAGGTATCATTCAATTCTTTCAACGCATCAAAAGAGGACCTCAGTCTCTTGGTTTCTCTATTCTTTTCCTTAAGAACTTCAGTTAAGTGTTCAACTTCTGCATCATGTTGCTAGGGGGAAAAAAACACTCTGAGCTAAAACTTCTAAAGCTTGTATATCACTAACACTGTGAAATATGAATTAATTACAAATAAGAACTCCTTCAATCACAAAAACTTTAATCACTGAATTTAAGCACAGCTGACTAGTGTGGCAAATAATTTATAAAAACCATGCAATCTACCAAAATAACAACAAAACATCAAAAGCATTGGCAACATACTTATTAAAACATATTAGCATTTACAAAGTAGCAATGAATCTATTTTCTGCTTCTGCTCAGAAAAACCCACTCACACGAACTCATGGAATATTTTGTTTGACATCATGGAATAATAAAACAATGAAGAATTTCTGACACTTTTCAAGAGATGAGTAAACTATGGCTTTATAAAGTGTATAATTTATATTATCCTTGAGAAGTAAATCTTTTATAAAGCCAACTGATTTCCTATTCTCATGAAGTAGATAAAATTTCTGATGCCTGCTTTTCATCTCAAAACATGTTAAATACATAATAAAATTTCTGAGCCCCAAACTATTTGACTCTTCTTAATCAGTTTTGCAAATAATTCAAATCAACTTCCCCCTATTTACATTTAAATGGGATAGCATGTTTTAGATTTAAAATGTGATTACTTATAGTTTCACATTTCACTCTCAACTTACTCAAAGTTTAAAAACAAGCCTCTATAGGAAATCAAAAAATTGAATTAATTTCCTTCTTCCAACTAATGATATAGATACAATGAAAATAATTATCTTTATACTTAATAAAAATAGTAGACACACAAATCTAAAGAGAGAGAATCAAGAATAAGACTGAAATGGAGAGATGTGAGAATCTAAGCATTCTTTAGCCCTGTGAAAAAAATCCAATATTCTAAAGAGTTAATCTTTGAATGATTTTATTACTATAAATAATTCCTTAAATAACTTAGGATACAGTCACAAATACAGTTGTTTTTAAAACTAATATATTTTCATTGTCCAACTTTTTCCATATCTAAAACATATTAAAAACATAGGCATTCCATTTCTAGCACAGCAGGATAAGCTCAATAAACTCTTCTGCCACTGAATACAGCTAAAAGGCCTAAATAAAACGCAAAACAACTACCTGACAACTGTGAAAAGAAAAAAGGGGAGGACATTGTGCTGGGAGAGAAAACTTGGAGAAGTAACCCTCAAGGATAAAGCTTCCTCATTCTTGTTTTTCGTCTTCTCTCAACATTTTGCCCCAGGGTGGGTCCCAGACATGGAGAAGCAGAACAAAAACTTCAACTAGCTGGGCACAGTGGTGCACATCTGCAGTCCCAGCCACTCAGGAGGCTGAGGGAGGAAGACAACTTGAGGGTATGGTGAGCTATGATGACGTCTGTGAATAGCCACTGCACTACAGCCTGGGCAACACAGCAAGACTCCATCTCTAAAATTTTTTTAATAATTTTTTAATTTTCACTAAAGCTCTAAAAAAATTTCACTAAAGACTAAAAGAAAACCAGTCTTCCTGGCAGGAAAATCAGAAAGAAGGACCCATAGGACAGACAAAAAGCAGTAGAGGCAATGCTTGCAGAATGGAGCTCAGTTTAAAAATACTACCTAAGTCCTGGCTAACATTTCAATGCCTCTGACCTGCACAAAAAAGACCCAGAGCAGCACAGCAAAAGCTCTGAGAAATGCATTAGGATTTTAAACTGTTACCCAAGTTTCACACTAACCTTTAAGAGGCACAGGCACAATACAACTCCATAGCAACACTGCAAAGGCTTTGAAAGCTTAACTGAGATAAGAACCACTGCCCAGAGGAGGTGAGAAAAAAACTGAGGCCTGGCCAGGCAAGGTGGCTCACGCCTGTGATTCCAGCACTTTGGGAGGCCAGGGCAGGTGGATTGTTTGAGGTCAGGAGTTCAAGACCAGCCTGACCAACATGGTAAAACTCTGTCTCTATTAAAAACACAAAAATTAGCTGAGCATGGTGGTGGGCACCTGTAATCCCAGCTACTTGGGAGGCTGAGGCAGAAGAATTGCTTGAAGCCAGGAGGCAGAGATTGCAGTGAGCTGAGACTGCACCACTGCACTCCAGCCTGGGTGACAAAGTGAGACCATCTGAAAAAACAAAACAAAACAAAACAAAAAACTGAGGTCTAAATCTAATTGGGCTGAATGCTTTAAAATCAACAATATTCTCCAGAGGGCAACAACAGAACCCAAAACCTAAACATGATAACCGGAAGGTCTTGAGTATACCATAAAAATCACCGAACGTAAAAAGAACCAAAGAAAGTAAGCCTCAAAAAAAAAGAAAATTAACAGATCCCAATCTTGAGATGATACAGATGGATGTTTTAAACTATGCTCCATGAGGTAAAAGTAAATATACATAAATGTAAACACAAAGACAGAAATGCTTATGAGAAAAACAAACATAAATTTTTAAAAGAACTTGAAATTTTAGAATTTTTAAATATGAGAAATGAAAATTTCACTAGATGGACTTAATAACAACATGAAGATTAAAAAAGAAATAATAAACTTTAAGATGAATCAAGAAACTATCTGGAGAATACCAAGAAAATAATGGGAAAAAAGGAACAGAGCCCCAGAAATCTGTGGGCAAAAAGCACAACGAGTCACTAGAGATCCAGGAGGGAAGAAGAAAGAAAGTGGAAAAAATATTGGTGAAATATTGGCTGAAGAGTCCCCAAATTTGTCAAAATACAGAAATTTCCAAATTCAAGAAGCTCAGTTAACCACAAACAGAATAAAATGAAAGAAAAGTATGTCAAGAAACACTGTAAATAAAATGCTGCTGAAAACCAAAGATAAAGCAAAAAATCATAAAATGATGCTATTAACATGACATTCTGGAAAAGTGAGATGTACCAGGACAGAAAATAGGTCAGCGGTTGCCAAGCACTGAGGCTGGAGAAAAGGGATAGCTACAAGAGAAGCGTAAGGGAACTGGCTTTATCTTGACAATGGTTGTGATTTTAAAACTATGCATTTTTCAAAACTCACAGAAATGTACAACAGGCAATGAATTGTGCTCCAGGTAAGTTACACATACAGTAATGTATGTCTTGGGATGAATGAAGCAAGGTATATTATACCACCTATATAATATCCTTGCCAAAAATATTTTATCTGCATATTATCATTAGGAAGCAATCAGGTAAATCCACAATGTGAAATATAAGACTGCTAGCTTGAATGCTTCAAAGAAAAATCTCACAGAAAACAAAAATGATGAGGTTGAGTGCTTTAGATTCAAAGAAACCAAAAAAAAATATAAAACCAAATATAATGCATGAATCTTGTCTAGTTCCTTGATCAAACAAACAAAACCCAAAAAACAATAAAAGACATATTGAAGACCAACTGAGAGAGTATATGGACTATAAATAAGTTATTTAGTTAGCATTAATTTCCTCATATGCTAACGGTCTGGAGAATGCCTTTATTCTTAGGAGATACATACTGAGGTATTTAGGGACACAGCCGTGATTTTTACGAACTGCTTTCAAACAGTTTAGAAAAAAAGAGTGTGCGTGCGTGCGTGCGTGCGTGCGTGTGTGTGTGTGTGTGTGTCTATGTGTGGGTGTGGAAAAGAGGAGGAAGGAGAAATAAGCAAATGTGGCAAATATTAATAACTAGTGAATAGAAGAAATATATCACTCTAAAATCAAAAGCCATATAGTTACCTCTTTCATAATTTGAAATCTTGTTAGAACCTCTTCTTCGACACCTTTAATTTTACTCAAGGCATTTTCATGTCTGAAAAGCAGTTGTTCTCTTTCAAGTAAAAAATGTTCTCGCTTTTGAAGTTCCTCAGCAAATTTCTGTTGTGCTGCAGTTTCACACTGTATCAAAATGCCAGATTGTAATGCTCTTAAAAAGTCACAAATACTGCAAATTATATTCCTATTGGCTGACACTGTGGTTTAACCAAGTGGTTTTCAGGAATATGGGAGTAACTAAGGACAACCTGGATTACAGTATCCAGACTAGTATACCAAGTAAACTTGTATAGAAATTCTATCTTGACATAAAAGGATGTGACACTAATAAGAGTCCATTGTGATGATGCAAGAGAATTTGGGGTCCAAAATGGATCAATGTGGGAATTCACTCAGGGTGGTGGCAAAAATATTAAGAAAAAAATAGTAGAGAAAGTTATAGAATATAGTTTCAAACCCTTTTGGAAGGCCTAAGTGTTTTTTCATAGTTTCAGTGGAAGTTTCGGCTGAAAGCAGCCTAACTCCCTTTACGTTTACTTAATAAGAAAAGCAAAGAGCTAAGGTATATGGGGAGTTTATCTGAATAATTTGTTTATTCATGTGGGCTTAAAACTAACCTTTGAGCCAGATGGCCCTCTCGGGAGGAGGTTGACCAGCGTTATTACCCATTAATGGTGTTTGCTTTGGGCATTGGAACCTGTCCTTTAATCTTCTCACTCTAGTCGAGTTGACTCAAGCCTTTGTTAATTAAACTTTACTAAATAAATGCGAGCCTCACAGGCTGGTGGGGCCAGTGGCTACTATCTCTTTACAGTACTCTCCAGGGAGTCTGTAAGAAGCCACAGACCCTCAGCCGGACTGGCAAAGCATAATATCTGTGTGTCAGTGTACTTTATTCATCCGTCGCTGAGTCCTACAAACCCCCACAGGTAGTGACCCCAACAGATCCGTACTACACAGATTTAGTTCACAAGCCCGCTTCAATTCCATGCTCCACTTCCACATCATAAACTACTATTTTTCCTATGTCCTCCACTCCCTCACCTTGTTGTTTATCACCTTGGGCTGAAAGACCAAGGCCTGGATAAGCACTGACCACCTTTCCTGGCCCCATGCTACTCAGCTCAGCACGAGTGGGGGAAAAAAAATCACACACTCTGAAAAGTGGCCCCTTTGTGAATTCATGGTCTCAGTCCTGTACTAGATTCTTAATGTAATCCAAAAATCTTTTTATATGTTCACAGCCAGCACTCCAATCCTCATTCTCTAAAGTGTCTATTTTGAGCTTTCCCCATTTTATTAATTTGGAATACATTATGTCCTATATGCCACTCTCTGTAAATAGTCTAAATTCACAGAAAAAAAAAAAAAAAAACAGAAAACAGCAAAAGAAAACATCAATCTCTTGGTCATAAAATACATATACACATGCTTCTCCTTCCCTCTCATTAAAAAGGCAGGCTCAGGACAACACTGCCTTAACGCCATCCTGTGAAGACAGCTGATTATCCCTCTTACTATTTTCTTTTGAGACAGAGTCTCACTCTGCCCCCCAGGCTGGAGCGCCATGGTGCAATCTAAGCTCACTGCAACCTCTCCACCTCCCAGGTTCAAGAGATTCTCCTGCCTCAGCCTCTTGAGTAGCTGGGGTTACAGGCATGTGCCACCACGCCCACCTAATTTTTTTGTATTTTTAGTAGAGACAGAGTTTCACCATGTTAGCCAGGATGGCCTCAATCTCCTGACCTCGTGATCTGCCCACCTTGGCCTCCCAAAGTGTTGGGATTACAGGTGTGAGCCACCACACCTGGCCCCCTCTATTATTTTCAATCTCTCCCACCTCATCTGAACTAAAAGCTTTCTTAGCCCCACACACTCATTTCTTCTCCTTTATAACCATCTACATTTGTTGAGGTCTCATTTCAGAATCATTCATCAACTCACTTCCGACTGGCTTCAGTCCACATTCCTCTATTGAAATGACTTACCTATTACTAAATCTAAAGGTCACTTTTCAGTCCTTATTTTGAGTCTCTCAACAGCATTTTATGCTATGGTCCCTCCAACTTAAAATACTCTCCTTCACTGGTTTCCACAATACCATTTTTCTAGTTTCCACTGCTATCTCTGGCCATGGCTTCTGAGGCTCCTTTGCAGGCTCTGCTTCCTCTACTGTCATTTAATTTGTCATTTAATTACTAATATTCCTCAGGATTTGGTCTTGAGCCATTTTCCTTCTCATTACTTATACTCATATGTGTGTGTGTGTGTAAATATATGTATATTTTAAGTTCTGAGATACATGTGCAGAATGTGCAGGTTTGTTACATAGGTATACGTGTGTTATAATGGTTTGCTGCACCCATCAACCTGTCATCTACATTAGGTATTTCTCCTAATGCTATCCCTCCCTTAACCCTCCAACCACCAATAGTCCCCAGTGTGTGATGCTCCCCTCCCTGTGTCCATGTGTTCTCGCTGTTCAATTCTCAGTTATGAGTGAGAACATACAGTGTTCGGTTTTCTGTTGTCATGTTAGTTTGCTGAGAATGATGGTTTCCAGCTTCATCCATGTCCCTGAAAAGGACATCAACTCATCCTTTTTTATGGCTGCATAGTATTCCATTGTGTATATGTGCCACATTTTCTTCATCCAGTCTATTGGCTTCATTTGGGCTGGTTTCCAGTCTTTGCTATTGTGAACAGTGCCGCAATAAACATATGCATGCATCTTTACAGTAGAATTATTTATAATCCTTTGGATATATACCTAGAAATGAGATTGCTGGGTCAAATGGTATTTCTGGTTCTAGATCCTTGAGGAATCACCACACTGTCTTCCACAATGGTTGAATTAATTTACACTCCCACCAACAGTGTAAAAGAGTTCCTATTTCTCCACATCCTCTCCAACATCTGTTGTTCCCTGACTTTTTAATGATCGCCTTTCTAACTGGTGTGAGACAGTATCTCACTGTGGTTTTGATTTGCATTTCTCTAATGACCAGTGATGATGAGCTTTTTTTCATATTTGTTGGCCGCATAAATGTCTTCTTTTGAAAAAAGTCTGTTCATATCCTTTGCCCACTTTTTGATGCGGTTGTTTTTTTCTTGTATATTTGCTTAAATTCTTTGTAGATTCCGGATATTAGCCCTTTGTCGGATGGACAGATTCCAAAAACCTTCTCCCATTCTGTAGGTTGCCTGTTCACTCTGATGATAGTTACTTTTGCTGTGCAGAAACTCCTAGTTTAATTGGGTCCCATTTATCAATTTTGGCTTTTGTTGCCATTGCATTTGGTGTTTTAGTCATGCAGTCTTTGCCCATGCCTATGTCCTAAATGGTATTACCTAGGTCTATCACAGATTAGATGGTTGTAGATGTGTGGTATTATTTCTGAGGCCTCTGTTCTGTTCCATTGGTCTATATGTTTTGGTACCAGTACCATGTTGTTTTGGTTACTGTAGCCTTGTAGTATTGTTTGAAGTTAGGTAGCGTGATGCCTCCAGCTTTGTTCTTTTTGCTTAGGATTGTCTTGGCTATAAAGGCTTTTTTGGTTCCATATGAAATTTAAAATAGTTTTTTCTAATTCTGTGAAGAAAGTCAATGGTAGCTTGATGGGTGTAACATTGAATCTATAAATTATTTTGGGAAGTATGGTCACCTCCACAATATTGATTCTACCTAACCATGAGCATGCAATGTTTTTCCATCTGTTTGTGTCCTCTCTTATTTCCTTGAGCAGTTGTTTGTAGTTCTCCTTACAAGGTCCTTCACATCCCTTGTAAGTTGCATTCCTAGGTATTATATTCTGTTTGTAGCAACTGTGAATGGGGGTTCACTCATGATTTGGCTCTCTGTTTATCTTTTATTGGCATATAGCAATGCTTGTGATTATTCCACAATGATTTTTGTATCCTGAGACTTAGCTGAAGTTACTTATCAGCTTAAGATGATTTTGGGCTGAGACGATGATAGGGTTTTCTAAATATACAATAATGTCATCTGCAAACAGAAATAAGTGGACTTCCTCTTTTCCTATTTGAATACCCTTTATTTATTTCTCTTGCCTGATTGCCCTGGCCAGAACTTCCAACACTATGTTGAATAGGAGTGGTGAGAGAGGGCATCCTTGTCTTGTGCCGGTTATCAAAAGGAATGCTTCCAGCTTTTGCTCATTCAGTTATTGGCTGTGGGTTTGTCAAAAATAGCTCTTATTATTTTTAGATAGGTTCCATCAATACCTGGTTTATTGAGAGTTTTTAGCATGAAGGTGTGTTGAATTTTATCGAAGGCCTTTTCTGCATCTACTAAGATAATCATGTGGTTTTGTCATTGTTTATGTGATGAATTACATTTATTGATTTGCATATGCTGAACCAGCCTTGCATCCCATGGATGAAACCAACTTGATCATGATGGATAAGCTTTTTGATGTGCTGCTAGATTCAGTTTGCCAGTAGTTTACTAAGGATTTTCACATCAATGTTAATCAGGGAGACTGGTCTGAAATTTTCTTTTTTAGTTATGTCTCTGCCACGTTTGGTATCAGGATGACGTTGGCCTCATAAAATGAGTTAGGAAGGAGTCTCTCTTTTTGTATCATTTGGAACAGTTTCAGAAGAAATGGTACCAGCTCCTTTTTGTTCTCTGGTAGAATTCAGCTGTGAATCCGTCTGGTCCTGGACTTTTTTTGGTTGGCAGGCTATTAATTACTGCCTCAATTTCAGAACTTGTTATTGGTCTATTCAGGGATTCGGCTTCTTCCTGATTTAGTCTTGGGAGGGTGTTATGTGTCCAGGAATTTATCCGTTTCTTCTAGATTTTCTAGTTTATTTGCATAGAGGTGTTTATAGTATTCTCTGATGGTAGTTTGTATTTCTGTGGGATCAGCAGTGATATCCCCTTTATCATTTTTTATTGTGTCTATTTGATTCTTCTCTTTTTTCTTCTTCATCAGTTTGGCTAGCAGTCTATTTTGTTGATCTTTTGAAAAACTCAGCTCCTGGATTCACTTTTTTTTTTTTTTTTTTTTTTTTAAGTGTTTTTTTATTTTTTTATCTCCTTCAGTTCTGCTCTGATCTTAGTTATTCCTTGTCTTCTGCTAGCTTTTGAATTTGTTTGCTCTTACTTCTCTAGTTCTTTTAATTGTGATGTTACAGTGTCAATTTTAGATCTTTTCTGTTTTCTCTTGTGGGCATTTAGTGCTATAAATTTCCCTCTAAACACTGCTTTGGCTGTGTCCCAGAGATTCTGATACGTTGTGTCTTTATTCTCATTGGTTTCAAATAACTTATTTATTTCTGACTTAATTTCATTATTTACCCACTAGCCATTCAGGAGCAGGTTGTTCCAGTTACCACGTGGTTGTGCAGTTTTGGGTGAATTTCCTAATCCTGAGTTCTAATTTGATTGCACTGTGGTCTGAATGATTGTTAGTTATGATTTCTGTTCTTTTACATCTGCTGAGGAGTGTTTTACTTCCAATTATGTGGTCAATTTTAGAATAAATGCAATGTGGTACTGAGAAGAATGTATATTATATCAATTATGGGTGGAGAATTCTGTAGATGTCTATTAGGTCTGCTTGGTCCAGAGCTGAAGTCAAGTCCTCAATATCCTTGTTAATTTTTTGTCTTGTTGACCTGTTTAATATCGATAGTGGGATGTTAAAGTCTCCCACTATTATTGTGTGGGAGTGTAAGTCTCTTTGTGGGTCTCTAAGAACTTGCTCTTTGCATCTAGGTGCTCCTGTACTGGGTGTATATATATTTAGGATAGTTAGCCTTTCTTATTGCATTGATCCCTTTACTATTATGTAATATCCTTCTTTGCCTCTTTTCATCTTTGTTGGTTTTATCAGAGACTAGGATTGCAACCCCTGCAAATGGCCACCCAGTTTTGTGCTTGAAATCCAGGGCCCTGGTGGTGTAGATACTGGAGGGAATCTCCTGGTCTTCAAGTTGCAACGACTATGGGAAAAGTGAAGTATCTGAGCCAGAATGCACCATTAATCAGAGCACAATCCCTCAGGGCTTCCCTTGGTTAGGGAAGGGAGTTCCCCAACCCCTTGCACTTCCCAGGTGAGGCAGCGCCCCACCCTGCTCCTGTTTGCCCTCAGTACACTGCACCCACTATCTAACCAGTCCCAATGAGAAGAGTCAGTTACCTCAGTTGGAAATGCAAAAATCACCTGTCTTCTGCATTGATCTCACTGGGAGCTGCAGACCAGAGCTGTTCCTATTCAGCTATCTTGGAATGGCTCATTTCTTATACACTTTTTGCTTAATTATATCCACTCAATGGCTAAAATTACGAAGTATATGCTAATTGTTCCCAACCTACAACTGTTCAAATCTTTCTCACAGGCTCCAAAGTCAAGTCCAAACAGCCTACTTAACATCCCCACCAAGGTAGGGAAATATCTGTTACCTCAAACATTTATTCTTTCTTTGCGTTGTAAACATTACAAATCTTCCTTTCTAGCTACTTTAAAATACACGATAAATTATCATTAACTATAATTTCCCTATTATACTAGTAAATACTGAAATTTACTCCTATGTAACTGTATTTTTAAACCCATTAGCTAACCTCTCTTCACCACTGCTACCCTTGCCCTCCCAGCCTCTGGTAACCACCATTCCATCTCTTTTTCCATGAGATCCACTTCTTTAGTTCACACCCCACACATGAGTGAGAACATGCAATGTCTGTCCTTCTGTGCCTGGCTTATTTCTCTTAATAGAATGACCTCCATTTCTATCTATGCTGCTATAAACAAATAGGATTTCATTCTTTTTATGGCTGGATAATATTCCATTATGTATAGATACCACATTTTCTTTATCTGCCAATGGACACTTAGATTGATTCCATATTTTGGTTATTATGAATGGAGCTGCAATGAACATGGGACTTACAGATATCTCTTCGACACATTGTTTTCTTTTTGGGGGGTATATGCCCAGCAGTGGGATTGCTAGATCATATGGTACTACCATTTATAGTTTAAGGAACCTCCATAGTGGCTGCACTTAACAAAGTAAATTTTAAAGTCAGATTAAACTATAGACTGATTAAACCAGTTAATACATTGTACTTCAATTTTTCTTATTAAATATATCTTTATCATGTTTACTACAAATGACAGATACATCCTTGCAATCTTGCCTATTCTTTTTTATCCTATAAAGTGTTACCAAAGGAATGTTCCTAAAACCTCACTTTTTACTCTGCCACTCCTTTTGCTTAAACACTTGTAAAATACCCAGCCTGAGTCTTCATTATTTTCTTTCCTCCAGCCAGGCTAATAAATGCACAATTAGACAATCACTGCTTTTCAGAACGCATCTCACTTCTAACTCCTTATACTTGGAATGCCCTTCCCAATACTCTTTTTCTCAGTCAAAGACCAGGTTAAGTCTCTCCTTAACCTTTTCCTGGTGTCTTTAGGCTAAATAATCTTTTTCTAAAGTACTATGGTAATTACAATCTGAATTATTTTGACAAAATGAGATATTGGTTTTAAAGAAATGCTTAACTATTTCATGTGTTTCCAATGGGAAGAATTTCAAACAGATACTGTGAATTACATACACTTCTGCTTCCTTCTCTACTTCTTGTGGATGTTTAATATATAGATTACACTCTTTTGGCCAGGTGAGAAGGCTCATGCCTGTAATCCCAGCACTTTGGCAGGCCAAGGCGGACAGATCACCTGAGGTCAGGAGTTCAAGACCAGCCCGGCCAACATTGGTAAAACACCATCTCTACTAAAAATACAAAAAATTAGCTGGGCGTGGTGGTGTGCACCTGTAATCCCAGTTATTCCCAAGGCTAACTGGAATCCAGGAGCTGGAGGCTACAGTGAGCCAAGATTGCACCACTGCACTCCAGCCAGGGCAACAGTGCAAGATTCCATTGCAAAAAAAAAAAAAAAATTTACTTTAGAAACAAAAAACACCAAAGGCAGATAATAAGCCTATGTTAATAGTTCAATTTTGATGAGAGTTGACGAGAAGACTCTTTATATACATATATTTTAAAAAATAAAGCTAGAGTAACTACTTCAAAAAGCATACTTTATCAGATTTTATTGCTTAAGTAAGGACGAGAGAGGAATCAACATAAAATATAAGACAGTCTGAAACACATACCTACAAACAAAAATGCCACGGTCTCTATTTTCTCTCAGCCATAACATATATTTCCCTTCAATAGTTCCTATAATTTGAGTTTGTCCCCTTCTGTCCTTGTCTTGACTCACTTACCTAAAGTAATTAAAATGAAATACATTATATTCAAATTTTGTAAATGCTTGGTTCTTAGAACATAAATATTTCTGAATTCTCAATTCAGTAGTTCTTACCTGCAGTTTCAGATGTATCTGAAATAATTCGTCATATATCTGACTGACATGATGTGGAAGTAAACTCTGCTTGTCCGATGCTTTAGATTTTGGACAGCTGACAAGTTTCAAAGGAGAGTCACTTGCATCACTACAACACTCAGTCTGAGGTCTTGATAAGGCCATATTAGCTGGCAGGGCAAGTGCAAAGAAAATAACATTTGAATTATAAGCTTTATTAACTTATTGTTTCAAATATTCTCAGAGTAACCTTTAGGAAGAGATGCTTTAAGTACAAATTATAACATCAAAAAGTTTCAGGCCGGGCATGGTGGTTCACACCTGTAATCCTTGCACTTTGGGAGGCCGAGGCGGGAGGATCACAAGGTCAGGAGACCCACATCATGCTGGCCAACATGGCGAAGCCCTGTCTCTACTAAAAATACAAAAATTAGCTGGGCATAGTGCCATGTGCCTGTAGTCCCAGCTACTCAGGAGGTTGAGGCAAGAGAATCTCTTGAACTTGGCAGGCAGAAGTTGCAATGAGCCGAGATCACGCCACTGCACTCCAGCCTGGTGACAGAGCGAAGACTCCGTCTCAATAAAAAAAAAAAAAAAAAAAAAAAAGTTTCAAAGGGGCAAATAATAATATAGCAAATATGGTAAAGTGATAACATTCAGAAAATTTGAGTGAAGCGTATACAGGAATAGTTTTCACTATCTTTGCAACTTTTCTGTAAGTCTAAAATTATTTCAAAATAAAATATTTTAAAGTACATAAAAAGACATTAATTACCTAGCCAAGAAATGGGAAATTACCTCGGAAAACCCTAAACACATTCCCTTCTCTCCTCCAAATCAAATTTATCACTAACATAAATGAGTATTAAATGCTGCTTAATCTCCACTACTTAAATTTTAAAAGTCCTTGTTTCTTTTGCCTGCTTTTATATTTTATATGTAATTATATGAACATAATTTCTATAACATCTTCCTTTAAACAGGTTCACAAATCTTCACTGTTTATCCTGTTTTGCAAACACTATATATGGTATCCTCCTATAGGTAGAAATTTGAGCTGCTTTGGCTATACAGATGCTACACAGTCTTGTACATGGTTTCTGGTGCACAAGTTTAAGAGTTTCCTGAGGAGCTGAGTGCGGTGGCTCATGATTGTAATCCCAAAACTTTAGGAGGTCGAGGCGGGCGGACCACAAGGTCAGGAGTTCAAGACCAGCCTAACCAACATGGTGAAACCCCATCTCTACTAAAAATATAAAAATTTACTGGGGCGTGGTGGCGGGTACCTATAATCCCAGCTACCTGGGAGGCTGAAGCAGGAGAATTGCTTGAAACCAGAAGGCAGAGACTGCAGTGAGCCGAGATCACTCCACTGCACTCCAGCCTGGGCAACAAGAGCAAAACTCCATCTCAAAAAATATATATATTAAAATAAATAAAAAAGTTTCCTGAGGGTGAAATCGCTAGATCATAGGGTTATATATGCAGATTCAACTTTACTAGTGATGCCAAACTGTTTTCCAAAGTGCTTACTCTCCCAACAGCAGTAGATAAGTGAGTTCCTCTTGCTTGATATCCTTGTCAACACTTACTGTCAGAATTTATTTTCTACTAACAATTAGAGTATAAAATGTTCTCGCTCAGTGGTTTTAACTTGCACTAGACTTGTGGGAGCCCCAACTTTAAAAGGGAGGTGGAGGTATCTTATACTCCATCTTGAACAGAAAATGGAAAAGCAAAAATAAAACGTAGCATGAATTTTTTAAAAAGAAAAGTTTCACTTCGCTCAGTTCAGCAAAAGCCCAAAAGCGAAAGGCACATGCACAGTGCTCTACTTGCCTGTCTAGGTTCCCCACTTACCAATCCCTGGCCTGAGCATTTCTTAATTTTGTCTACTTTCCAATATGAGGTTGGTGCAAAAGTAATTGTGGTTTTTGCCATTAGTTTTAATGGAATGCAATCAACATTCTCTTATAGCTTATCCCATGTTTTCCACCAGGAAAATCGACCATGTAGCAGGAAGCACAAGTCCAGAAGATTATTTTTCATCTTCCTCAAATGCTGAGAATAAGGGGACAAAGGAGACTATGAAATGCAGCCAGAAGGAGAGGAGAAAGAGGGAAATGAATGTTGTGTGTAGACCATAAAATCCAGGGAGAAGAGTGCACCTGTATTGCCAGCAGGGCAACTCAAAGTCCCGTAGCCCAGAGGCAGAAGGGTGCCATTTCTGGTTGTCTCATTTCTTGAAATCCTGACAAAACTATGAAATGCAGCCAGATACACAGAACACTGCCAGTAGTTCAGTGCCCAGAAAGCCATACTTTAAATAATCTGGAGTATTTTCTCAAAACCAATATTGGAGTTACTCAAATACTAGCACAATCATTTACTCAGTTATTATTTTGATAAATTTTGAGGGTATAGGAATATTCCTGGAAAATAATAAAGTTTAACTTTCTCTGCTCCTTTAGTTTTATAATAAGCACAGTACCTATCTCATGGCTTACAGAAGTTCAGAACACAGAAATATGCAAACTCTTGGGCCAGTGTTATTAGTTGGAGGGAAGCTTCAGCTTCATGTACTCTATTTGACAAAGTTACTACTTGGTTGTTCTAAAATATTTATTTTACCTTTTTCTATTTCTTTAAAAGACTGCTTGGTTATTTTGGAGGTACTAACTCTATGATCATTCTCAATTAACTCTTCTTCTCTTTCCTGTTTCTTCAAATCATGGAAAGAATCCAGTTCATCACCTAGGCTTTAAAAAAACAGTTGTGTTACAGCAATCTAGAAGTTTACTATACCATTTTAAAAAGATAAAACTGCCTTTCAAATATTAACAGCATAACTGAGGAAAAATGTAAAAACATTTTTAAAATTGCAAAATGTAAACATGTAAAAAGTAACAGTTATTTGATCATTGGTAATCCACTACAAGCATCTTTTTGTACACATTTAAAATGACATATACCTGTAGTCTACTCCACAGCGGCCAAACACTTTCTTTTGATTTCCAATAATTTGGTGTTATCTATAAGGTAGTTCTAGCTAAAAGAATGAATGTTTAACATAAGGAAACTAAAACTAAAGAAGTCAAATAACTGATGGGTGACATAATTAGTAGAAAGTGGAGCAGAACTAGAATCCCAGGTGTTCTCTCCAGAAAGACAATCTGAGTTTAATTTCTAGAACAGTGTTGTTCGAAAGCAATATAATGCAAGTCATATAGTTAATTTAAAATTTTCTAGAACATTAAAAAAATACAATTAAAAAATATATATTATTTAATATATTATACCTAAAAGTTTATCATTTCAACATGCAATCAATGTTAAAAAGTATTAAGACAGAACAAGCACGGTGGCTTATGCCTGTGATCTCAGCAGTTTGGGAGGCTGAGGTGGGAGAATCTCTTGAGGCCAGGAGTTCAACATCAGCCTGGGCAACACAGTGAGATTCTAGCTCTACAAATAAATAAAATAAAATAAAATAACCAGGAGCAGTGGTGCATGTCTGTAGTTCCAGCTACTCAGGGAGCTGAGGTGAGAGGATTATTTAAGCCCAGGAGTTAGAGGCCACAGTGAGTTACAATTGCGCCACTGCACTCATAGCCTGGGCAACAGAGCATGACTCTGCCTACCGCAACCCCCTACAAACAAACAAACAAAAAATAAGATATTTTACATTATTTTATCCATGCTTGCTTACTTATTTACTTATTATTTTGAGACTGAGTTTCACTCTGTCGCCCAGGCTGGAGTGCAGTGGCACGATCTCGGCTCACAGCAACCTCTGCCTCCTCGGTTTAAGCAATTCTCCTGCCTCAGCCTCCCGAATAGCTGGGATTACAGGCATGCACCAGCAGTGGCTAATTTTGTATTTTTAGTAGAGATGGGTTTCTCCATGTTGGTCAGGCCAGTCTTGAACTCCCGACCTCAGGTGATCCGCCTGCCTTGGCCTCAAAGTGCTGGGATTACAGGCATGAGCACTTGGCCCACAGTTCCTTTTTTTTTTTTTTTTTTTTTTTTTTTTTTTTTTTTTTTTTT